CGCTAATATGACGCCGTCGCCACTATTACCGTCGCTGCTAATGCTCTTTTGATTTATTTTTATTTTTTTTGTTTATTTATTTCACATTGAATTTATAATCAATCCAAATCCAAATATTAATCTGATAATTTTATATAGAAATATTAATACATAAAATCAATCCAAAATGTTAATACATAAAATCAATCCAAAATATTAATACATATATATATATATACCACATTTAGTATTGTTTCGAATTACAAAACGTTTCATTAAATCCTAAAATAACTACTCGTCCTCATCATCATCTTCATTATTTTGTGACGGCAATGAGCGAAACCACTCTTCCAATGCTGCAGAACAAGCCGGGTCCTGTAGTATTGTTTGCAGCATTTGCAACTATAAAAAAAACAAAATATATTAACAATATATCAGAATAACATTATAATTAATTATACCAATCCATTATAGCATTTACTAACAATTACCTGTGATTGTGGTTCTTGTTGTGTCATTGGTTGTTGCTGATCGTACATAGACACAACGGTAGGGGGTTTACGCCCAATGCCTCTGATATGTCCGCGTCGAACACCCAATATTCTTTCAAAACAATCTTTTATATCAGTTGGTGCTAGACCGTTTGCCTCAGAAGTAGACTGGGTTCGTTGGTTTATCTCTTGGAGTAAAGCATTCTGTATTTTTTAAAAACAATAAAAATCATAAAAATTAGATTACTAAATACCTTTGACAATATAAACACTTATATGAAAAATACAAATTAACCACTTACGTATTCTTGCTCTACTGCCGGACTATAAAATACCCCTTGGCGATTGGAATTAGCTTTACGAAAACCTTCGATTCGACTGATATCCTATTTAACATTAAAATTTAGATTAGTTATACTTTAAATAAATATTTAAATATATCATAACTTACCTCTTTAAAACATGCATTGCTATATGAGCTCGACCCCCCTCTATTTACAACTACTTGTTTTGCACGACATTCCTTGTTTGACGCCGAACGCCTTAAAAATTCTGGCGTTTGAAAGTGTTCGACTGCCTTCGCCCAATTTTCATGTGACATTCCGTTAGGGGGGTTGTTTAATGCAGCTTGGATATCTGCAGGCCCCCCGATTTCCTTAAAATAAGCATGAGCTTTACTTTTTCGACCTCTGTAAACTTTTGCAAGACTTGAATCAATGCTCCGCAACAATTGAGCACGCTCCGGATCCATGTTAACCTTATCCAAATCAAATTTATTCTGCAAAACACAAAAAGTTTAGTTAATTAAATAACAATCACAACTAAAATTAAAATTGTATCCAAGTTACCTTTAGATGAACAACTACTACGAGCTGGAAAGTCGTTTATTGTCCATAACAACATAGCTTTCATCGTGAAGAATGTGTTTGTCGCTGCGTCTTTAATGCGTATGCCTGATTGCCATAAAAACTTAAGCTCTTCCACTAACGGCCTAAGGAAAACATCTATGTCCTTTCCAGGCGCTTTAGGGCCGGGAATCAACAAGGCCAACATGAATGATGACTCTTTCATACAAAGCCATGGTGGCAGATTGTAAGTGGTGAGTACAACCGGCCACGTACTATGCGGATTACACATGTTACCAAATGGATTAAAGCCATCAGCTGCCAGCCCTAATCGTACGTTGCGAGGTTCACTCGAGAAGTCAGGGAAATCTTCATCAAATTTTTGCCAAGACTCTCCATCAACGGGATGACGCATCACACCATCTTCTGATCTCCCAGTACTATGCCATATCATATTTTTGGAAGTGTATCGTGAACAATACAAACGGCGTAGTCTAGGGGCCACTGGAAAGTACCGTAACACCTTATGAGCCACTTTCTTGCCCTTGGTGTTTTTATCAATCCACCGACTCTCTTTACAAACAGGACAAACTTGCAATGACTTGTGTTCCTTCCAGAAGAGAAAACAATCATTTTTGCACACATGAATTGACTCGTACCCCAAACCTAACTTCTTCAGTTTCTTTTTTGCTAAATAATATGAACGGGGAACCTTGTTGCCCGGTGGAAATGCGGAATGCAACAACTCAAGGAGTTGATCAAATGAAGTATCAGTCCATTTGTTGTTGACCTTCATATGCATCAGCTTTGCTAAAAAATCAAGGAATGAAAACGAACAACCAGGATATAACTTGGTTTCGACTGCCTCTAACAACTCTTCAAAATCATCATCGACACCACTACCCCCTGTATTCGAGGTTCCTTCATCGAGGTTTATGTTATTTTCTCTCGACTCCCACATAACATCGTCAATAACATCAGCCATCTCGTTGCTTGGCGATACAACATCTACAACTGGAGGGATTAAAGGTTCACCGTGATATATCCATGTTTTGTATGATTGACTGAAACCATATATACGAACATGACGTCTCATTGCTTTCGGATTCATGAAGTAACGATTATCACATTTCTCACACGGACATCTAGTTTCACCTTTACAATCTAGATGTAACATGGATCTCTCGACAAAAGTGTCGAGCCCTAGCTGGAACTCGGGAGATTGACGATGTGGATTAGTAGTCCAACTTTTATCAATAGACATGATGCAACTGAAACATAATTTAGTGTTTAAGGTTTACTTTATAGGAAACAAAAATCAAGTAGAGTATTCATAAAGTTGACGATTCAAAAAGTATTCAACTGAAACATAATTTAATTTTATTCTATTTAAATTAAAATCACAAGAAGTACGTTGCTATTAAGTTAGTTTTATAATTAATATAATTTGATTTTACAAATGTAACTTAATTTGATTCTAAAAGTAAATTAATTAGATTTTATAATTAATTTAATATTTTCTTTTTTGTTATTAGTTTAATTTATTTATTAAACTAATTTTATTTTATTTTAATATTAACATTAACTTGATTTTAAAACTACTTTAAGTTGATTTTACAATTAATTTATTATTTTTTAATGTTTTTTTTAAATTAATTTAATTTTATTCTATTTAAATTAAAATCACAAGAAGTACGTTGCTATTAAGTTAGTTTTATAATTAATATAATTTGATTTTACAAATGTAACTTAATTTGATTCTAAAAGTAAATTAAATAGATTTTATAATTAATTTAATATTTTCTTTTTTGTTATTAGTTTAATTTATTTATTAAACTAATTTTATTTTATTTTAATATTAACATTAACTTGATTTTAAAACTACTTTAAGTTGATTTTACAATTAATTTATTATTTTTTAATGTTTTTTTTTAAATTAATTTAATTTTATTCTATTTAAATTAAAATCACAAGAAGTACGTTGCTATTAAGCTAATTTTATTTTATTTTAATATTAACACTAAAAGTATGTTCCTATTAGGTTGGCCAAACATTAAGTCACTAATAAATTAAACACTTTGAAACCATATACAATACATTACTAGAAGTAGGTTGCTATTAATAACCTAATTAAGCCAAATGTATACATCCAATTTGCATATTTCAATTTCATCCAATTTCATATAATTAAGTCAAATGTATATATCCAATTTCATACAATTTGCATATTCCAATTTAATCCAATTTGCATATTCCAATTTCATACACTTAAGTCAAATGTATACATCTAATTTGCATATTCCAATTTCATACAAATATAAACATCTAACTTTCATTTTAAGGCAATGTGGTATAAACATAAATTTCAATCCAACAAATGTATATATTCATGTCATTTTTTTATACATCAATCTAATGTAAACATAAATATCAAAATATACACAAAATGCATAATTAAATTCCTACAAATCTGGAAAAAAAAATATTTCAACAAAACATATACAATCAAACAAAATATTTCACATTTTATTTCAACAAAATATATACAATCAAACAAAATATTTCACATTTTATTTCAACAAAATATTCATGTCATTTTTTTATACATCAATATAATCTAAACATTTTATTTCAACAAAATATATACAATCAAACAAAATATATACAATCAAACAAAATATTTCACATTCCTATCAAAATACACACACAAACCAACAAAATATTTCAACAAAATATATACAATCAAACAAAATATTTCAACAAAACACACACAAACCAACAAAACACTCACATTTTATCATCTTAAGTAACACAAAAACAGAAAAATCATAGCAAAAAGATGAGAAATTCGACCTTGTGGAAGGAGGGGCAATTTCGGAATTTGCAAAAATATCACCGGTTTATGGCTGTCTTGGGGGAATGAGAGGCAAGCACCGGTCCAAGAAGCAATTCCAACTCCACAAACTAGTAAAAAAACCGAGATATTGCAGAAAGAAGAAGAGGAGAACGAGAGAATTGGAGGTAGAGAGAAAATGGCAGAAAGGGAACCTGTGAAGGGGGTAATCTGCGTCAGGTATTAGCGGCGACGGGTATTAGCGGCGACATTAGGGCAACAGCGGCGACATAAGGGCATTAGCGGCGACATGTGGAGGGAAAAAATAACGCGCGTCTCCGCTTTACTCTACAGCCGTTAGATCAAATTGAAATCGGACGGATGGGGTCAAAACGACGCGGATCGCTAAATGGACGCATTAGCGGCGACGCCTATAGCGGCGACGCATAGCAATAGCGGCGACACGTAACGCGTCATTTACGTGTCGCCGCTATTGCTCTGCGTCGCCGCTATAGGCGTCGCCGCTAATGCGTTTATTTCTTGTAGTGCCTGTCCAAAAATAAGGAAGTTTGTACACGTAGGTTATAGTTTTTCCTTTCTATTTTTATTATCTTTTAACTGAATAAACAGAAATCCCTATTAGATTTCATTCAAATAGCGAACCTTTCGGGTCAATCAACAGAGGATATACCTTTCCTTTTTTTTTCCCCTTCACAGCACTATATAAATAGACTTGCCCAGTACTCATACTCATCTAATTCATTCTGAGTTTGACACTAGTACTTGTGCTCAATTCTATCGATCTCAAAAAATACTTTTCCTTTCTATTGTAACGGAGGTAAGCAAGTTGCCATGGATTTTGCTGATCAGCTTCCCTCCTACTATCGATTCTGTCCCACAGATTCAGAGCTCATCGTAGACTGCCTGAACGCCAAGATCGAATCAAGAGAGGCCGCCAAGTGCCGGTTACACGAGGTCAATATTTACAACCACACGCCGGAAGAACTCGCAGGTTAGTACGTTATCAACTAACTAACTAATAAAAGATACATGCATGCATGAGTCTTGTTGAATGAATAATAATGGTTTCTTTCTTGAGTTAGTTCTGAATATTCTAAATAGTTAATACTTGTGTTTAGTACGTACGTAAAGATACATTTATGCTTTCTTTCTTGAATGACTTGATGCTAATATATATCATATCTTGTGTTTTAATTGGTTGCATGCAGAAACATATCGGTCCCACGAGAATAAAGGGTATTTTCTGACTTCTCGGGATCGAAAGTACCCAAGAGGGAATCGACCTAATAGACATGTACTCGGAAAACATGGGTACTGGAAGACTACTCAAGTACAAAAGCCGGTGTATGATGCCACGTCTGGAGAAATGGTTGGCTACAAGGGAACTCTTGCGTTTTTTGATGAGAATGACGACAAAACTATGTGGCTAATGCATGAGTATACAACCAACGAACCCAATCTACCATTCGAAAACGGAGACAAGGTATGTAGTAGAAATTAATTATCAGAAATACTGTTGTTATTATCATATAATCCTCAATGTTGTATGCTTAAGTAATATATATCCGGTCTTCTTGTAGTTGAACGAATGGGTGCTGTGCAAGATTTATCGGAATCCAAAAGAGGTGATGGAAGAACCCAACATACCACTGCCCAAGAGACGAAGAGTATTAAAAAAGAATGAAATGAGCTTTTCAAATCACCAACCCGAACAAGTTGACGTTCATGAAACTAATATCTATTCAGATACCTCTGTTGATCAGATGGTGGCACCTTCCCACGATCAGTCTGCTCACATATGGGTTAACAATGGCAACACCGTTGGCCAAATCAGAATGAACTCCAGCCCCTATCCAATTCCAATGCAACCGATGACTACCTTTCAAGATTGGAGTTATTTGATACAAGCAACAACACCGTGCAATCAGAATCAGTTTACTTCGAATGCAAGCAACGGTTGTCAAATTTCTGATCATAGTGCTTCAAATTCTGTTTCTAATATTGGACCAGTTGCTTCCTCCTCACAACCACTTGATGATGGTGCCTACAAAACGCCTACTACTGAGCATGGTTTGAATTCAATACAACCAGTGCAAATAAGGGAGTCATGTTATCAGAAGAATAGGCTTTCATCGACTAATGCATGCCACGATTTTCTGTTTTCAAACGGTGCTTCGAATTCTTCTTCTATGGAACCACTTGATTGCAGTGGCTACCCACCGGTCTTGGTTCAAAGTTCTTATGACAATGCGCCAACCATTCTCGACGTGCAACATGTTTGGGACCAATCCGCTCAAGGTGATGCTGCTGCTGACGATTTTCATTTTCATCATCATGGTTATGAGGTAACCACAATATCTGCTCCTGTTGATGAAGTTGAATTGAGCTCGGAAAGTCTGGACAGTTTTATAGAACAATCCATGGGGAAGGGTCAAGATGCTGCTGCTGTTGAAGATTTTCATTTTCGTGATAGTTGCGAGGCAACGATATCCGCACCTGTTGAAGTTGAATGGAGCTCCGAGAGTATGGAAAGATATATAAAACAATGTATGGGGGTGTCACAAGATGGCAATGCTGAAGATCCAAAAACCCAACTCAACGTGCAAACTGGTTCGAATCATTACATGGTGGACGTACGTCACAACGATACTGCTGATCACCCTATCCCCCAGCCATATGGTAATTACAATGCAAATATATGCCATCTTAATGATGTTGATAAATGGATTTTGAGTACTGTTTCTTTTGATTTTGAAGAATCCATTTAATGTAGTCTCACTAAACTTGATATGAGCTAGTGAATTTCATACATTACAAGATGTAACTACTGTTTTATATTGGTTATCTCACGGTAGATGTAAATAAAAGTACGAAAATAGTAACATATGAATTCTTCAATTCTTTAACTAAAGTAAAATAGTTTTTTTTGGTTAATTAGGATTCCTTTTATTATTCAAGAATTTATAAGATAATAACATTAATTTCTTGTTAGTGTGAGAATGATAATTAAAATATAGCATCTAATATTGTGATCAACCTTCGGTTAGAGAAAACCAAATAAATTGTTGTATCATTGTTGAGATATGAGTGTGATATTTAGGATTCAACATAGATGAATTATGGGCCAATTTTCTACAAAATGGTCGGTTGATACTTGTACCGTGATCCAAGTAGCATGGTCTTGCAAATTTTTAAATATAAAGTAAGACCATCTCCAATGCATTGAACTCATATGAATTCAATGCATTGACACATATACATTCCACTCACTATACAACTTTACCCATTAAACTCTACACTCCATTAAACTCTATACAATTTAATGGATTGTCACATCATTTATCATTTTATTTTTATTTATTGTTATTTTTAAAAATATTAATTAGCATCAAATTAAAAATTAAAAACTACAATTAAAATTAACACTAATTTAAAATAAAAATAATATATATATATATATATATATATATATATATATGTGTGTGTGTGTGTGTGTGTGAGAGAGAGAGAGGGAGAATATAGAGTTCAATGGGGATTCAACTCCCCATTCCATTGAATCCTAGTCATTTTCCTATAATAGGGATTTTGGGTTTAATGAGATTCAACTACCCATTAAACTCCCCATTGAACTCCCATTGGAGATGGCCTAATTAACCATTAGAAAACATGAACCTTAATTTGAATGAAATTTGATTAAAAAATAAAATAAATAACGATAACATGAACAACAAAATAAACTAATGATTACAACCAATATAAAGCAAAGTACATATTAAAAAGTTTGCGATTATCAAGACCGGTCCATGCCATGGATGTACTAGAAAACCATACTAGTAGACGAGGAGATCTTTGAGAATGAAGTGGTCACAGATGCTTGGCGGCAACCTAAATTCAAGGCGGTAAAACGAAAAATCAACAATCACGCTTGTTGCATAGAAGATGTGGAGATCTTTGACCCTTTATAGGATTTAGTTGATAATCAGATATGCTCGAGAGGCTGCAACGATTTTCAAATCTACAATTTTGATTCCTTAAAGTCAAAAAAGATGTGCATCATGCTATCCCCAAATTGAAAGTATAACTCAAGAATATTGATTACTAATTATTGAATTATATCTTTGTTTATATAGTTGTCTTTCTATTTCTCACTATCACTATGTCGACTAGTTAACTACATGGGCGAATGGATCAACTCTCAAGGATCTATCATCTGTTGTGTATCTTCGTTTAAGGTAGTATTAAGTAATAAGGTCGAGTGATCATGGCTCGTCTTTGACAAGATTCTTTAAATAGATTTGTCGTTTGTTCATAGGGTATACCAGCCTAACCAATATATTTTATAATCAGTAATTAAATGATGCAAAAAATATAATGAGCCAAAATTTGTTATCAACAAAAACTTGTTTAAATTTAATAGATTACGATACAAAGTGATATTATTCAAAAATAAAATGATCAAAATTACTATGATTCAAAATGATATGATCGAAACTTTTATGATAAAAATGAAAGGATCCAAAAATATTATGTTAAAACAAATATTATTATGATTAATATCTTAGGATTAGAAAATTTTATAATTGTTAAACATTAAAAAAAAAAAACTCAAACCTGTATTTAGTTAAAAAAAAAAAAAGTATAAAAAAATGAAAAATAATCAAAAGGTCAAAACAAATAACAAAAGTGACAAATAAGTTCATATTTATTAATTTTTATAGAAATAAAAAATTTTAAAAAATCAAAATATTAAATGACATTTCGTAGACATTCACCGCACATAATTATATCTTCGAGATTGTATTACTTTCAATGGAGTACATCACATTTGAACATGTCATGCCCAAAAACTATAGCAACAACTATTGTAATTTTTTGATATATTGGGATGTGATCATAACATTAATATTTGTTGTGTTCGATATTAATATGTTTAATCAATGATTAATCTTATTATAATAAAATTTCATAGTTGGTCAAAATTTTGGGAGCAATTATGAATTAATACTGTTATGAATTGGATTGATTGACTCACATTAAATGAAAGCATGCAAGTGGTTGTAACCAAGATTCATAGGTACTTATCTGAGAACTGGCCCGCATCATTATGCAAACTTTAGAATAGTTAAATATAATTTTTAATTATAATTGGATTGTGACCAAGATTCATAGGTAGTCATTAACTTTAGAATTTGATCCCGTCGATTATATAAATTTGGATTTTATAAAAGAATATTGTTAAAATGTGATTTTAAATAAAAATATAACATGGTTTATTGGATGCATTCAATAACCATGTAACGTCCCAAAAAATTCAGTTTAAATTGCCATTTTTAAAACAATAAACCTTAAAAATGAGTTGTTCCAAAACAAATCAAAATCATTACGTCATTTAAATCATTAGAGTAAAAAATCAGAAGTATTCAAAGTAAAAACTCGGGGGGGGGGGGGGGGGGTGTTTTGTAGTCACGTCGAGCTCTTTCCTTTAGAATCGGAAGTACCTGAAACCGTAAACATAAAACCATAAGCACAAAGCTTAATGAGCTCCCCAAAATACCACATACCACACATAGAATTAAGATTGATATATGTCAACCATAGTCTAATAATTTCCATTATGCCATGATCCGTATCATGGTATTTCATTGCAAGTCGGGGACCAAAACCCGAGTCTTACAAACAAGTGTCAAGAGCCACCTTCATGCAAGTATCATAAAGACAACTAGCATCCTATATATAACTGCTAGGTTCCAGACCCTAGTCTTGCATAAAAATTGTTGGAAGCCACCTCCACGTCTTTCATGCATTTTCTATGGGCCACCACTGGGCTTCTCTATATATCATAATCCAGCAAAACGACATTGGTGACTTCGACATTGACGTTGTATTGGCTTTCGGCCTTTTAACCAAGACTCAATCAATTGAGAATGTCAGTGCTTCTTGTTTCAATAAACGCCTTGTCATGGGTAAAAAAATGTTTATTTTTCTCTTTTTGGTTATGTAAACCAAGATGGTGGGGGGAAATTCAAGTTTTTGGGAAAAAATTGAATTTCAAGAATTGAAGTATTTTAAGAAGTACTAAATACTAAATGATTATAAAGTGATAAATATGTTAAAATAACATTATAAAATTAAAATATCTCATATATTAAAATAAGTTATATAACAAATTAAATGAAATTTATTTGTAGTTTAATTGGGGTAGAGTTTTTTTTATTCCATTTAAAATGTGGGATGTAAAGGCCGGAAAGCAAGGAAAACTCTTAGAATATACATGTTAATTCCTCTGTTTTTTTATTAGTTTAATTCATTTTTAGTGAATAATTATTGTTTTTGAATTTAGGGTTTGGAGTTTATGATGTATAATTTAGGGTTAAGGCTCTAGTGAGGTGTCAAAAATATCCGAACCTTATCATATTATGATTATCTATATGTTAAACACACCATTAAATGGCATACCATGAAATGCACATAACCAAAAAGTTGATGATTGTCGTTAAAAACAACTTATTGCCCTTTTTTAGCATAACCCGACGAATTCGAATCTATTAACCCGAAACCCGATTGACCCTAACCCGACTAACTCATAGCTTAATAGGGTCAGGTTTCGGTGGAATTTTTAATTATTAAAATCTGACTAACCTGAACCCGATTAACCCAATAGTCGATCGAGTTGACCCGATTAACCCTCAGATGTGTTTATGAGCTAAGCCATTATGTTTTACACCGTGAACCCTAATCCACATGCCTTTGGCCTTAAGCCCTAAGTCACAAACCATGAGCCTTATGACTTGTTGCTGGGAGGGGCTAATATTGCCACTTTTGGATTGGTGGGGTGGAGCTACGTATGCTAGGCGTACAACGTGAAGTCCCAAACCCAGATATTTAGGGTTTGGACCCAATTTGTTCTTATTTAAGTCTCAACCTTCGTTCCTTTGATCACCATCTGTCCTCTCAAAACGTCTTTGCAAACCTTAATCGACCTTGTGACCAATTTGGAGCGTTTGTGTGGTTGTTTTGTGCCTTTGGATTAATATCATGGTTTACCGTATGTTGCTATGTTGTAGTGATATGTTAGATATGTATATTATTTATAGGATTTTGCTATGTGGTAGTGATATCTAGATCTGCATGTTTGCCTGTTGATGGATTGTATGTTTATATGTTATGTATATGTCGACATATTGTGTTGGGTTGAGGTTATACTACTCTGTGTTGTAACTAACAAATCTGGGAGCATTCCAGATATATGTTGAGGGCTGATCAGCATGCCAGACTCATACTAACAAACCTAGGAGCATTCCAGATATAAGTTGAGGGCTGATCAGCATGCAAGACTCATACTAATAAACCCGGGAGCATTCCAGATATGTAACATCCAGGATTACTAAGGTACTTATTATATTATTATTAGCTTAATGAATGGAATTGGTTTAGGCTTGGACCATTGGATCCTTATGATTGAGCTAAGAAGTGTCGTATGTGTGGCGTACTATGCTAAGTACGCTCAACGTACTCAAAAGATTGGAACGCGGAAGCCATGTACGTACGCCCAACGTAGCAAAGGGTACGCGTAGCTTACATATGCAGATTCTAAAACCCTAAACTTTAGGGTTTGATCCCTATATAAAGGACCTTATGCCTTTGGTCCATCCTCCTTCTCACTCTTAGATAGCCACCACGAAAACCGTAGCCCATATGTGTGTGTTCTTGTGATTTGGGAGCTACTTGAGAGCATTTTAGTGTTGTTTTGGTGTTTTGGAAGAGAAAG